TGCCATTGCTTTGGGGATGGTAAGGGGTTGTTGATGATTTCTTTATCTTTAACAACCGACAGACCTTCGTGAAGACAACTTAGAAATTCTGTACCACAATCCATCACTACCTGTTCTGGAATTCCGTGCAGGCAAACGAATTGAGTCACGAAATTATATGCTACCGTATTAGCTTCGTGGTTTTCAGAGGGTATTGCCCATGAAAATTTCGTTAAATCGTCCTGAAGCGTGATGATGAAAGCATTATTACGGTGTGATTTAGGAAGGGGACCGACGATATCCATGAAAACTTTCTCGAATGCTCGTGATGACGTAGTCGTGATTATCATCGGTTCCTTAATGGACTTATTTGAAACTTTAGTAAGTTGACAGGTAGGACAAGTTCTGATATAATCTGATACTTGTTTTCTCATGCCAGTCCAATGGTATTCGGTTCTGAGTTTACTGAGAGTGCGCTCTACTCCTTGATGACCGGCAAGAGGAGTATCGTGAAATTCAGAGATGAGGCGGAGTTTGTCCTCTTGTGTTAGATTATCCTTACTGAATACTTTAATTATTATATTAGAGTTCCGAAAGATAAATCTAAGCATAGAATTGACCTGACTCCAATTGAGGTTATCTAAACCACATCCTATTCGAGGCATAGCGATTTGAGTCAGCTGATTGTCTTGACAGAACAATTTGAGATTTAGAAGACTTTGGAAAAGGGTGTCATAACTAGGTTTTTCACGACATTTTCTTTTGGTAATAAGGTACAGGATATACCTATTATCATTTACCAAATGTGCGATTTCCGTCACGCATTTTCGCTGGTTTTTTAGTTCTTCTATTTGTCCAAATTTCTTTCTGAACTTATAAGCGATACCTCTTGTCATGTCGAGGTCTTGAGATACACAATGGGCGAGATGCCAATCATTGTCTTCATCGAAAAGATCTCCTGTGACTTCTTGGACATTCGGTGTAGAAGCTTTAGAAAGTTGGTCTAGGTTTGCATGAGCTGATGTGTACTTTCTACAGCATTAGAGTGCGACGTCGTCTGAATTGGGATGTCCGAATTGTCCATAGAATCATTAGTCTAAATTTGTAGTATTAGGTGGTTGTGCGACGCGTATGCCCGACAGATAACTCTTTTGCCGGGAAAAAACCCGTCTAGGCCGGATAGGAGTAAATGGTTTAGAGAGAAACAAAAAAGGGGAGAAAGGAACAAAAAAAAATTAATTAATCAAGTGGACTGTATAAAACTCAACTACTATTGCCAAAAGTTCAATATAAAACATCAATATACTTAAAACTAGGGTTAGTATGTAATATCAACAAGGTATAATAATAATAATGATGATAATAATTATTTACAATAAAATAATCGACAAAAATTAGTACGCTGACCTGGACACCTTGACTGGCAGCTCACACTGGCCGGTGGTGACACGGTAACGACGGCGGCTAAAACGCTACGACCGCAAGGCCACTTAAGCGTCGACAAAACGGCAAACCCCAATACTCACAACCACGGCAATGACCAATGGCGACAAAAGTATTGACGGCGGCAGCACGTTTACTGGCACATTTACGGCGACGACGACAAAGCGCTACGACCGCAAGGCCACTTAAGCGTCGACAAAACGGCAAACCCCAATATTCACAACCACGGCAATGACCAATGGTGACAAAAAGTATTGACGGCGGCAACACGGATTTTAAAGGCGCACAGCGGCAACGGCGACAGCAACAACAACACGTTTTTTATCTGAGACCGACCGAGCCCGTGTCAACAACAACACGTTTTTTTATCTGAGACCGACCGAGCCCGTGTCAACAACAACAACGGGCACTAGACCGGACACTACAGTAAAACAAAAACAAAGAAAAAACCGGTTGGGACACCGCACATATATCGCGGTCGGCACCATGTGGCGGCAGATAACACGACTATTTTGTGGCTCCCTTATCGATGTCGAACAGTGGTTGTTTTGATTGAGCCCTGGTTGTAACGTGAATACGGCTAAGCGCATCAGCGTTAGTATTATTGCAACCTGGCTTGTAACGAATCTGGTAATCATATTCTTTTAATTTCAGTCTCCACCTCGTTAGTCTTGAGCCTGGATCCTTGATGTTGAACAACCATGTAAGGGCTCTGTGGTCAGTGATGACGTTAAATTTCTGACCATAGAGGTAAGGGCGGAACTGTTTAATTCCCCATACAATAGAACATAATTCTTTTTCTGTTGTATTGTAGTTTTGTTCGGTGCGATTCAGAGTTCTTGATGCGTACGCGATTGGTAAATCCTTGCCGATAGGACCTTGAGATAGAACACAACCTACTGCGACGTTGCTTGCGTCACAAGTCAGGTTAAACGGTTGACTAAAATCTGGATATTGAAGTAATGGTTCCTGAGTTAGAATAGATTTTAGTTTTTCAAATGATTCTTGACATAAATCTGACCATTGGAACGGAACGTCTTTTTTCAACAAAGACGTTAGCGGTTTTGCGATTGTGCCATAGTTTGGTACGAAACGCCTATAATACCCTGTGAGTCCAAGAAATGATTTTATATCCTTTGCATTTCGTGGTACTGGGATCTCTAGAACACATTTGACCTTGACTGGATCTGGTTTAACGCCTTTGTCTGTTATAATATGACCTAAATAGTGTACTTCTTTCCGCATAAACATACACTTCGATGGTTGAAGTTTGAGATTGAAGTGTCGAAGTCGATTAAAAACGTCTTTCAGTTTGTTTTCGTGGTCCTGAATGCTGGAAGCATGGACAATTATATCGTCCAAGTATACGAATGCTTTTAAACCCGTTAGTCCACTTAGTACGGAGTTCATAAGACGTTGAAATGTCGCAGGCGCGCCTTTGAGACCGAAAGGAACTCAAAGTGGCCTTTGTCCGTACTGAACGCAGTTTACTCAAGATGGTCTGGGTGCATTTCTACTTGATGATATCCTTGGGCTAGATCCAGAGTGGAGTAGTATGTAAACTTTCCTAGCTGATCAAGAATATCTGCGATGTTAGGAATCGGATACGCGTCTCCTGCTGAGACTTGATTTAATTTCCTAAAATCAACACAGACACGATATTTTACGACATTATTAATGTCCGGCTTCTTTGGTACAACCAATAATGGTGCGTTCCATGGGCTCTTACTGGGAGCTATTATATTTTGTTCTTCGAGTTGCTTCATTTGTTCGTTGATTTCCTGTTTATGTCGAAAAGGTAAGCGGTATGGACGTTCATTGATGGCCTGTACAGTTGTAGGAGTATTTATTTCGTGATAAACAGCATCCGTACACGTCAGCTTGTCTCCATCTAGATGAAAGATGTCGGAGTACTCACGACATATTGTCTCAACCGAAACTTTTTCTTCAAGATTGAGGTGGTCAGTTTGAATTGAATCTCTGAGTAGCTGTAATCGTTGGCTACTTGCTGAAGGAGATGAGTTTGAATTAATATTTGTTACGTAACACGACTTTTGTTCAGTCCATATGTCAAACGAAAGTTGATCCAGAGTGAGGTTTCGAAGTGTAATTGAACTTTCGGATATATTAATTACTGGAATTCGAATTTCATGATTTTTCATAATTGTTAGTACATTTCCGCACAACAAATTGTCGACTAGACTTTGAGAATGAATGACTAACGCTGTGGCCTCAGCGATGTCACATGCAGATATAGAAATTATAGACTCAGAGCGTGGAGATATTTCACATGTTCTCTCTACATGTAAAACTATCTCATTCGTTTTGAAATTGACAGACAACTGATTGGATTGCAAAAATGGCCTACCTAATATACCTTCAAACTTAATAGAGAAATTAGGATGGACGACATGGAATTCGGCGTTGATTGAATGGGTAAGAAGGTTTTTCCCAGAGTTAGAATGGTCTGTTCAGTTATACCAGCCAGACTATAACGTTCCGTCTCTTCTACTGGCACATTTGGATTTAGAACGCTGAGTTTAATTAGATTAAGGTCACTGCCCGTATCTAGAAGTAGATTTAATTGATTCGGAGTAGTATTGAAACAGAGTACTTTCACCTGACCATCGTTTAGCTGGGCGTTGCGTGTGTAGATTCTCCCAATTGGACGATGGCGGCTTGAAGCTGTCCGGCCGGGCGTGCGTCTTGACCCGGTCGTTTCGTGTTTTCCGAATTTTTCCAGTTATTTTTTGAATTAGCATACCTCCTCTTTATGCAATCTTCAATTACGTGCCCCTCATTTTTGCAATACCTACAAACTGGAGCTGAAGAATTTGGATTTAGAATTGAGGTCTTTTGCGGTTTCCCTTTACCGGTTGATGTAGAAGGATTTTGTGGGCAAAATTTAGAGAAATGACCTTTTTGTCCACACGAATGACACGATTGGCTAGAATTAGAATTAGAAGGAACTGATGTAGAAAGTTTCCTAGGGGTTTCTTTCAAAAGTTGCCTAGCGCCTAGGTTTGAATTTCGGATACGCTCCTCTTCTCGAGCGGCTTGGATGGCTTTTTCTAACGATGTAGGATTTCTTGCTTTAATAAAGTCCTTCAAACTCCCCAATCCTTCCATGAAGACTTGAATTACCTGATTATGTATGGTTCGCTCTATTGCTTGAGCAACCTCCGCCGGTTGATCAGACGTTCCTTGTTCTGTTATCTGATTTTGTAATTTTTCTACTTTCATGGAATAAGTCAAGACAAGACGTCTTCTCCCGGTAATTGCTTTGTCGCATACAGTTCCAAATATAAATGAGGAGTTGTGCGCTGTGGCTCTAGGTTAGACTTCAGAGTATCTCTCAGGTCCTCCCAACTTTCAAACGTTTTGAATTTTGTGATTTGTCGGGCTTTTCCCGTAAGTTTTGTTTGAGTGGCCTGCAGCAATCGTGGTACCGCAGCTGGGACCACACATTCCACTGCAAATTCGCATTTTTCAAGGAAGATTTCTAATTGTTCGACGTCCCTTCCGTCAAAAGAGTACGGGAGCAATCTAATAGCGTCTTGCAGGCCAATTTGAGTGCTCTATGGCGGTGGATGATTTAGACTAGTAAATGCATTCGGTTGTCGTTGAAAATATTGTTCTATATATTGTTCTACTAAATTTTGTAAATTGTCCATTATCTCGCCTCTGTCTTGTCTATTGCTATCGGAATTAGAATTGATATTGTCGGTAATAGGTGTGTTTTCGTTCATCAACCACTGATAATCCCTATGTTCTAACCAACTTGATGGTGGGTAGACTTTCGCGACAATATGCTGTGGACCGCACTCAGAATCAGGTATGGTTTCGTCCTGATATCGGGCCTTTACTTTTTGGTTCTTTACTGGTCCGCGATTTGTTTTTGGATTGGAAGACGTAGTGGTCGACGTACTAGCGACAGTATAGTTGTTAGTTAACGTATACCAACTACTTGCTGATTCAGTGGAAATCTTAGGAATGTATTGAGAAACTGCCTTAGTAGTGTTTGGTTTGCTATAACTAGTGGAGAAACTAGTAGTCGGTCGCGGACAGAGAGTGAGACTAACACCAACTGATGTAGTAGGAATTGTACGGTAGACAACGGACGGTGTAGACTTAGTATAAATAGTATCGGAAACAATAGACGCTGTAGAAATAGAATGGATTGTATGGGAGACAATAGACGGTGTAGACGTAGAATGGATTGTATGGGAGACAATAGACGGTGTAGACGTAGAATAAATAGTATTAGAAATAATAGACGCTGTAGAAATAGAATGGATTGTATGGGAGACAATAGACGGTGTAGACGTAGAATAAATAGTATTAGAAACAATAGACGCTGTAGAAGTAATACAACTGGTACTAGTGGATGTAGTTATAGTATGTGATACTGGATTAACACCTTGAGTAGATGAGCTCCTCAACTCATCCAATAAAGTGTTAGTGTTATCCAAAAGATTATCAGTACTACCTAGTGTACGGATTGATCTAATTAGGATATCTGTACTACTCGCCAAATCTCTAGGTAGGCTAGTACTAAGCCGAGATTTCTTTGAGTCGGAACGAAGAGTGCGAGTCGACGGAATAGGGACGATAGTAACCGGTGGTCTATAATCTCTATCACTTGTGCTACTGGGTGGGCTATTTTGGTCAGATTCACTGCTCATTTAGATGCAGTATATATTAAAAAAAAAAAATGTGTACTAACTACGTAGCAATGAGCGAATAAGCGGATGGTCAAACGTCTCTAATGACCGTTTACCAAAAAAAAATTTTAAATATGAAGTAAAAAAAATTATATATTTTTTTAAATTGTTCAAAAAATATATACCAACAATTAGACGGTTTTTTTTTTTTTTTTTTAAACTAAAAACATTTGTACTCCGTCTAATTATTTGGCTTTTCTCTTTTTTTTTTAAAAAATTAAAATTTTTTGTTTTTGAAATTATTGTTAACGATATCCGCAAAGCATTCATAAATGGAAAAAACTTGCAGTATGCTGAGGAGAATATGTAATGTCCAGTACATATTTCGGATTGGCTCTGCTGTTTGAAGTGGAATAATCGGCGATGAATTGAACGGCGTTGAAAATAAACAGTTGAATTGAAAAATCGGAGTTGAATTGAACGGCGTTGAAAATTAGTAGTTGAATTGAATGACGGTGATCAATGACAATATTATCGAATGACGTCGACAAATGATAAATGAAATAAAACGGCGTCGGCGGCAATCGATGTTGAACTAGACGGTTGTATACTAATTGAAGTGGAATCAAACAGCGTTGTTTTAAAAAAAAATTTTTTGTTTTGGATTACACAGCGTTGAAGAATTAAAATCGAAGTTGAATTGCTCGTTGCTAAGGAAGATCGATGTAGCAATTTGAATAATTTATTCCCGAAACAATTAAGAAAAAAAAATTCAAATTATCGCGGCGGCCGACCGTGCTGTGTTGTTTACAAACACGCGGCACGGCTTATCAGTCGGTCACTCGGCGGCGGCGGCGATCCATTATTGGTCACTAGGTCGCGACGCGATGATTGCTCGTTGCGAAAACTCTAACCGCTAGGTCGCGACGGACGAACACGAAAAGAATCGGAGTTATGATGACACTCGCCACTGGATCGCAACACGTTCGGACAACCGGTTTAGCCACTAGATCGCGACGTTTGCGATTACCGAAAACATAGAATAACATTAAACAACAATATTAAATAGTATGGTTTAACTTAAGATGTAGGACTAAGACGTAGAACAACACAAGTGAATAGTAGAATTACGACTAACGACAGGGCACCGGATAACGGGGGAAGTTAGTCGGGTCTCACGCTAAAACCCTTTGGTCAGCACATTCCTGTCGGCCGACAGTAATCGGACGACCATATGTGTGTTTTATACACCATACAATTATACACAAGAAAATACTAAGGGGTTTTTAACAGTAACAAGTAAATAATAGTTTGTGTCCACGTTTACAGGAATAGTAATTCAAATACGGCTTATCGCGAATTTACTTTTGATTTCGAACCAGAAACATGTACGTGCCATTTATCGAGCCAATCTAGACCGACCATAGATGAAACAACTGCTTGTGAAGAAATACAGTGTATCCTGTGCACAATTTTGGAAAATGATTTATTGAATGATGTTTTAAATAATCAATTAGACAATATACTACAATACTTGCAGAAAAAATTGGATAAATTTAATATCAGTTCTCAATTTTAGTCATCCAGAATAAACTTAAGTAAAAAAAAAAAAAAATTGAATTTGTGTAAACTTTAAGTCAAAAGTGGTACTTGAGCACTTTAAAGTATCATTCTGCATAGATGTACATAAAATTGTTTTAATGATTTGATCAATTTTTTTTTAAATTTTTAGGTGTTTTTGTTAAAATATACGAAATCTGTGAAAACGCAGTTTCCCGGCAATTAAAAAAAAACTGTAGTGCCGAATTTTTTTCCCGTTTAATATGTTATGAATACATATGAGTTGTAATTTTTTTCATTTTTTTGTATTAGTAAATTTTTTTATATTTGTACTTAAATGCGTTTAATAGTAATAAAAAAAGTATAACACACTTAAACTTTTTACATTTTTCAGAGCAAAAAAATGCATAGCTATATTTAAAAAGTACAATAATTAGAATTGTGATTTTTAAGTTGTATTTTATGTTGTTCATGTTAAAAATATTTAAATTTAATATATTGATTGTGGCTTAATAAAAAAAAAAATTGTAATAAACTTAAAACTTGTAAATGTATTATGTTATACAATGTTATAAGTATCATAATAACTCTTATATAATGATAACTGTAACATTCAATGTGAGTATCATCGTAGTAGTAAATAAACTTGTGTTAATTAAAATAATTATAAATCTGACTATTAATATAATTATTAATTATTTTTTTACAGTTTGGCAAATTGTGCGTACAAAAATAATAAATGTTTATAATTATTTTAATTAACATACTAAATTTACTACTACGATGATACATATATCAAGTAAACTGATAAATGGTAATGGCGTTACAACTTAATTAACGTCAATATACGAGTATATATTACTTATTAATAATCTGTTGTGGGCTACATTTATGCAAAAACAATATTAAAACATAAATGAATGCTATAAAAATTAAAAACATGTACGTATGGTGGTGACTGGTGAATGTCATAGTCCTATAGACAAAACCAACAGCGAGTAACTGGTTTATAATTTAAACATCTTTTTACATTTATACTGATAATTATGTGATAGGTATCTTAAAAAGTTATTCTGGACAGAAGATAGACTATGGTTTTGGATAATATTATTAGTGCGCCAAATTAAAGAGGCATAGTCAAAGTTAGAACGAACTAGCGTAAAGTACAGGATTTTTAGGGCTGTTTCATCGTAAAAATCCTTACACATACGTTTTACTAAGCCAAGTTTCTTATATATACAATATAATATAATAAACAACTGAATAATACAAATAAGTAATCTGTTTATCTTGAAAATTATATAAATTACAATTTTAATTAATCTAAAGTAAATTCTGCGCCAATATTTGTAACGCACTTCATACTCATATTTTCATTAACTAATGACTAAATATTAAATTGTCACAGGTACTTCTGTGTACAGTTTATTGCATATTAACTTGATTACTGTTGAATCTAATAATATATGTAAATCCATGAATACTATCATATTCGGGTAAATTTAACTTACCCGGTAGATACAATGCTTGCTCAAAGCCAATATTTGCTAAATTAAAAGTGGGAACATTATTTCTAATTTTCTTTACGTTGTGATTCTCCAATTTAGGTAAATCAGGTGTTTTTAAATAAGCGCGATTCTTTATTTCGTTGGTTTTCGCTTTCATAGAATGTTTCTTTAGTTAGAGTTTAAGATTTAATTCTTATGCTTCCGCGCTCAGACTTGCCATATCGAAGAGAATTGAATTTCTAAAGACGAATGAGGTTAGAAGTCGGAGAACTTTATTTCTATGAAGCCTGTTTAAAGGTCGATTGCGTATTTCACTCAATATTTTAATACGAAAATGTAACGGTTAGCAGACTAACGAGCGCTTTCCGTGATAAACACTGTTTGTCATTCAGGTTTCATCAAGCTATTGATTTACCATTTTACGTGACCACCGAAAATAAATGTTTGCATTTTTTTTTTGCAAGATAACTACATACCATTAACGAGGTATACTTTTTCGGAAAAAAAAAAGAGGACACTTCTCGAAATTCAGTCAACATTCAGATGTAGAATAAACACACCAAGAAAGGTAAAGAACAAAACGATTGTTTTAATCATTTAACTATAGTATGTCGGGAAAAATTGTCCATAAAAATATGGGCAAATATATTATTATAAGTGCAGTACACATCCAAATACATCTCAGACAAACTGTAAAACCTTCGTTCGTTTCTTCGTGATCCCGGGTTGCAACCGAGTTCGATAATGCAGACTGACTTCTTCGAATTCTTTGCAAACATGGTTCGCATTTACCCCAATCACCGAGTTCGCCATCACTGTCGTTGTTTGCCAACATAATCGTATCCTCCAAATTTAATTAAGAAAAAAATAATATTTAATTATTCGTAACAATAAAATAGCAAATTAGCAAAATAGCTTAGCAAAATCAACTAAAAATATAGAACGTAGTAACTAAAAATTATTTAATATCAAATTATTTTTTTAAGCCATATGATCTGGTTGAACTTCAAAACTAGATAAGAAACCTAACCAAACACAGGTGTGAAGAAGAGGCTAAAAACTAGTACTTTCCAACGTGTGCCCAGGTATCTCGAACTCTGCTATAGAAAAAAACCTTATAGAAGCTCGTTTACACTAGTATCCTCTATAATCAAACTAAGAGGTGGCTTTAATATGGAAGGATATACTCACATTTTAAGCTTTAAACGTCAAGTCTTCGTAAAAAAACTTTATGTTTGTAAAATCTCATTTTCGTTTAATTTATAGTAAATTACATAGGGATGTAATGTAGCCTGAGCATTTACCCAATGGTAGCTTTAAATTTCATCCTGGATTAAAAACGTGAAATTCTCAGCGAAATCTCCTAAGACTATACATTCATTTAGGTATTAAAAGAGAATCTTTTTTTTGCGTAAATATGAGGATTATTTTTTTTTTTATAAAAATCGGCTGCTCAAATAATTTTTAAAAATATTCTGTTCTACTTTGAGTAATATGTACAAGTATTGTACGGTCTGTACCCAGCAAAGTTAGAAAGTATTAAATTGAGGTTTTATATTTACAAATAAGTATCAAAGCGTTAATTTGAAAGTGATTTTATACAAGAGGACTAGAACAGTAGAGTATAGGCGTAATGGAATCAAAGCAACGAGGGGACGGACAGGTCACAGGTCTACAGGAATTATTATAAATAAAAGTGATAAAATTGAATAAAATCAATTATCACAGAAAAAGTGTTAGTAACCTTGAGGTGAGTTCAAATAATAATACTAAATAATTAGATACCTACTAGAAATATTTAATAATTAAACGTAACAAAACAAATTTATATAAGTGACTTTTTTTCAAATAAAATATGTATTAAGTATTAAGTATTTAAAATAAGATGTCAGTATGTTAAGATATTTGATGATGAAAATCCGGACGGACTGAGTACCTGAGTAGTGAAGTTGT